ATCATCTCTGTTAATGGATACATAGTTTGTGCTTATTAATGAGGATATTTAATTCTTCAAATATACTAATAGCTGTATTATTTATTATTAATATTTATTTGTTTGCATAATGATGTGAAAAATTGAATCTAAGATACAAATTCTTTTTCATTTTAGTAGAGTTAGCAAATCGAGTTATCTCACTCAAATTAGACTAACTTATTTTAGACTGAGTCTTAGTAGAATAAAAAAAAAATGCTCTTTATTCTTACCACAACACCTAAGTTTAAATCCTATATAATACTAGATTGACAAATTAGTTAACTTGAATTCGATTAGAAAAGAGTTCAATGAATTATATTTTAAAAGTCAAAAATTAATTTGAATATAAAATATTAAGTATACATATCGAATTGATTTCGTTGACTATAATCTTTCGTGCCGCATTTAGTGACTTATATATACTGTGATCCCAAAATTTGTGAAGTTGTTAAAACCTGTCAAAACTAGTTTTGAATATTATTATTTTTCTTCAAATCAACAACCAGTAGTAGTTCGGTTCTCAATTCTTCGTAATGGCATTATGCTAAGAAAATTTGCCGAGTTCGGGGTAACAACTAAATAATACATTGTAGGTATAAATATATGTTCTAAACGACCACTCAGGACATACACTGTTTCGTTTCATGTCTGTAGTAACGATACATGATATTTTTGCTTCAGTTTATGTATTAATGCAATTCTATATTACAGCCTGCAGTCAAATTCTCTTCAAATTCACTGTTTAATTTGCACCACTAGTCATGCTGTCCTTTACAGTTTGCGCCATGGTTGATCTGAAATGGAACTTGTTTGCTCCTGTTTTCCCCTCCCTTCCTCTTAGCAATATGCTGATGCTTTTTCAAGTTAATTATCTTTGAGCTAAGTGCTTTGATCTTGCAAAATAATGAATGCAACACAGTTTCAAGCTAGCATATGAATTGAATATTTGCTGTGGGTATTAGGAAAAATGCTAACGTGACACATATATGTCCGAAAATTTCCTATTATTTAGGAACTGTGCATGTTCCATATTGATGGCCAATATGGGCAGTGCAAAATGCATCAGCAGCAACTCATTATTTTTTTTATGCCAAAACTCCGGCTTTTCTCCTTGGTCTAGTCCACAGCTTACGTGGTGCCCGGGAATACGATAATTTTTGTTACAAAGTCATGATCATAGTAAATTAATATTTGAACTAAATTTCTTCTCATTTAAGTGATTATCACTTACTTGTAATAATAAATTCCTGATCAGACAAAGTTAACTCGTGAAATATTAGTTGTAGTTTTTGGTCCATATATAGCAGCTCTAGCTACAGCATTATCTTCTCATGATAATTTGCAAATAAATGGTGCCAAAAGAAAAAGAAGGAAGAAAACAAAAAGCGAGGGACCTCTGTCGTTATGCTATTAATAAGAGTTCCATTACTTTAATCACTAAGATATAAAAACATTGTTTCCAGTACATAATTCCGAAAGTCTAAAGATCGGGTTGTACGTACCTTTCAAACACACACATAATAATAATAATAATAAAAGGCACTAAGAAAGGATTCTTGTTAATTAATTGCAACACGATGCTTTTGTGGAAGATAACAAATGATGAAATCGAACTAATTCCCCTTGTCGCCGCAGTCCATTGGCTACAGGGACGGAGCGAAAAGGGAAAAAAAAAAAGATCCCACTAATTCACCTAAAGAACGATAAGGATTCCATGCAAATTGATTAATATAGGCATAGGGCTAAATGAAAAATTAAAAGCCAAACCACTTGTATTAAATCATCCCTCTGCTGCCCCTAATCTTACACTTTAAATGGCCCAACCTTGCATTGAAGGATTCGCTATGTTATTGTTACCCTTCAACAACACCAACATGTTGTGATTCCTGCCTAGTATCTCCAACGTGTTTGCTGAGCTGTGTGAATTGGACTTCCTATGTGGCTTCACAATATAGCACCACACATTTGAGACCGGGTCATGCTCACACCCCGACCATAAATCCACACACTTCCCACGTGCCTTCCTCGTGCCAAAGCAAGCTCAACACTAACCCTTTCCTTTATTTAAGCATCCACACATTTCCCTACTCAAACTCAACATAGCACCCTAGTCGCTTATACCTCCCATTTCTTCTTCGCTAGCCCCCAGTTCCAATTCACCACTCTTATTACCTACTCTCAAAAAATAATGTCATTCGTTTCCAAGGTTATTGCCCCATGTTGCAAGAAGCATAGGAATGATGATGGTGTTTGCGGGCTTGATTATGCTCCTGCAACATGCATTGAAGGAAATTACTACAATGGGCATGGAGATTTTGTAAATTTTGCTCCTGTTGCATCCGTGGAAGGAGATGATGACGACGATGATGGTGGTTATGACTATGCTCCAGCAGCTTAAACTATGTGTTTGGGTTGCTCTAGTACTACCCAACTTGCAGTGACTGACAAATTAGAGTGTCTGCTCCAATTCTTATTAGTTTAGTACCCAGTGGCATGCGATTATGTTGGTGACTTCTTTATGGTGAGGGTGGCATGCAATATCAATTATTTAGCAACTATTATAGGAGCTTTTTGTTATGCAGAATTAATGAGATATAATTAAGAATGTATGTTTGCTAATGAGAAATGTAGTTTATTAATTTATCTCATCCACCATATAACATGCTACGTCATCCCGGGACTAGTGACGCCACTGGTTGTCTTAATCAAGTTGATAAATGAGTTTAGTTTACTTTCATTACAACCATTAGTTTCTGTTTCTAATGCATCAAGTTGCTTTCCAAGGAATTTCTTACATTTATTTCTTCAATTTTTCTAATAGGTGTTTAAGAGAGAGAGTGTGTGTGTGTATACAGTAAATTAAAAAATTATAGAATTTAATACATTAATAATAATAAATGCTATAATTTTAATAACAAATTATTTATTATATTTTTAGATATATGTTAACAAAACTGCTTTTTTTCTTCAATTATTTTTCCTTTATTTGCTCTTTTTCTTTTGTTTTTTGGGTCCACCTGTAGTTGCTCCTTGAGTGACCAGTCCTTTGTTTTTAGTCGCAGACTAGTCCTGTCCCCTAAATTCCTAATTTGAACCCACAGTCTTTTTTCACAGGTGAGTGGGTGACCCAAGTCAACTTCTAGGACCCGTTTAATAGCTCACATGCGTATTCAGTTTTCTTTATGATTTCTGTCAGTTTGGGCCCTTCCCCTGCTAGCAGAGATAAGTCAGTCTACATGGCCCATCAGACTGAAACAGTTGAAAAAAAAACCCTAAAAAGTAAAAGATTGAAATTAAAATAAAAACAAAATTTAGGTATACTACTGTAAACACTGTTATTATTCTAAAAAAGAAAAAACCTATTAATCTGAATAGTAAAATTTTACACATAATAACGTTCAAATATATTATCTCTAATTAAATAGTAATTATACATGTATGAATACAATGAAGTCTTGCATCACTGTCTCAAAACTCACGACTTTTCAGATTTTATTATTACATCATTTATTAATGAGTTAAAATTGTTTACTTTTATAAAAAAAATAATTTAAAAATTTATAAAAAATCTTATATTAGATTAAAAACAGGTCATTTATCGCCATAAGCGTTAACTGCAGAAAAATGTTTTTGCTACGGACAGAAAGAGTGGAGAAAACGTTTGCAATCCAAGGAGACATGACAAAATTTTGCAGATGTGTCTGACATTAATAACACGCACACGATAGTTGATCTTGGTTTGGTGACTCGATTCTTCAATATAATAATGTAGAGAAAAAAGAAATGTGTCCCAAAATCGCCAATGGTATCAAAGAACTAGAATAGTACTTTGGCCTATTCTTCTTGTTGAAAATAGAAAACACAAAAGCGTTGAAATAAGAATGTTTCCAGTTCTAGGTTGTAAGGTTGCCAAGCCAATACGGCAAACCCGATATCGTATTAATTTAGCAGATATTCACGAAGGCCTAGTTTGATATTGTAGTTAAGAAAGAAATAAGTGAAAAACACACACAGATGAGAAAATTATTTAGCTCTAACAACGATAATGTTTAGAGTAGACTATACGTTTTTCTCAAAAAAAAATATTTATATCTTATACTTGTAAATATTATATTTTAGTTTTAATTTTTATAATATTTGGGTTAATTAAAAATTCAACATATTAAATTCAATAAATTTAATCATATTAAAACTTAAAAATATTATAATTTCATTTATCAAAATTAAAATAAATAGACTATATCAATAAATTATACATCCAAATATATTATTTCTTTCATTTATTTTTACATTCTCCTTCTTTCCACTCATTAAAAAAGAATTGAGCTGTAAAGGTTGGAATTTATTTTAGTAATAAATTTAAATAAATAAAATTCTTAACGTTGACTCTATATTTGAATCAAACTTGTTTTACTATTTCTGTTATTGTCTCTCTTATTTAATTTACTTATATAAATTATTTTAAATTACCATTCTTATTATTTTTATATAAATATTTTAAACAAATTTGATGAATTATTTATTTATTTATTATAAAAAATATTCTCATTGACTCTATTTATAAGAAATAATTATTTTATTTTCTTAAAATATAAAAAAATTAATTTCATATATACTGATTATTAAATCATTTTAATGTTTTTATTTATTTAAAATTTATACTATCAAATTACTTGGACCAGAATTTCATGCAATTTTGGTGCGAATTGTAATAAAAATGCAAAAAATACAATATCTGCAGCAGGAGATCCTGTCCCAAATTACTCACCTATTATCCATTCATATGAATATTTATTAATTTGTATTACAAGTTATTCACCTTTATCTATACACCTAAAAATGTTTATTAATTTAACATATAAATTATAAATTTAATTATTTATTATTAAATATTTAAATACACTTTAAATTTATAATATATAATTTTTTAAAAATGAAAAATATATTTTATTGTTTTTGAAGTCCTTGGTTTCACTCGGGCGTGTTGATGGTTTCTTTTGATTTTGGTCCAGCATCCGTCTCCTTCGTACCATCCAAACTCAGAATCGGAGCGAAGTAAGGAAGAAATCCAGTTTGGATGAGTGGGAACAGTTAATCATTGTCTCTTCTCTTCTCTTCTCTTCTCATATACCACTCACACACACACATCTCTTCGACCACCCAAATCGCGTTTTCCCCATTATCTTCTTCCCCCATTCGTGTCGGTGATCCATCCAAATCCCCAATCCCAATGTCGCCGATTCGAATGGATCCATCAAAGCAGCAATATTACCGCACCAGCGGATTGGTGATAGGCTACGCACTATGCTCAAGCTTACTCGCCATCATAAACAAATACGCCATAACCAAATTCAACTACCCAGGCCTCTTAACCGCATTGCAGTACCTCACTTCTGCTCTCGGTGTCTATCTCTTAGGCAAATTAGGGTTTCTCCACCACGATCCTTTCGTTCTTCCCACGGCCAAAAAATTCTTCCCCGCTGCACTCGTTTTCTACCTCGCCATCTTCACCAACACCAATCTTCTCCGTCACGCCAACGTCGATACCTTCATCGTTTTCCGATCGTTAACCCCTCTCCTTGTCGCCCTTGCCGACACCGCCTTCCGCAACCAGCCATGTCCCTCTAACTTCACATTTTTCTCTCTCGTCGTCATTCTCGCCGGCGCCGTCGGCTACGTCGCTACCGATTCCGCTTTCACCCTCACCGCTTATTCCTGGGCCTTCGCTTATTTGGTCACCATTACCACTGAGATGGTTTACATTAAGCACATGGTCATGAATCTAGGGTTGAACACTTGGGGTTTTGTGCTTTACAACAACCTGTTGTCGCTCATGATGGCTCCTTTCTTTTGGTTCCTCACTGGAGAGAATGTTGAGGTTCTCGCTGCTCTTAGATCTGGCTCTGGGAGTTTGTTCGAGCCGACTGCGTTTTCTGCTGTGGCTCTGTCTTGTTTGTTTGGTTTGCTCATTAGTTTCTTCGGTTTTGCGGCTAGAAGAGCCGTTTCCGCCACGGCGTTTACCGTTACCGGAGTGGTTAATAAGTTTTTGACTGTGGCTATCAATGTGGTTATTTGGGACAAGCATGCTAGCCCTGTTGGGTTGGTCTGTTTGCTGTTTACTATTGTTGGTGGAGTTCTTTATCAACAGTCGGTGACTGGGCCGGGGAATGCTCCCGCGCAGCGCGATGTTGCTCTGGTGCCGAAGCAGTCAGATGTTGAAAGTAATAATGGTGGTGGCAGTGATGATTATGATGATGATTTGGCAAGTGAGAGAGAAGGAAAGGGTAAAGTTACTTCTTAATGAGCATTTGTACTATTTATTTATGTAGTCATTGCTTGATGTTTAAGCTGTAATGCTGTATAATTGTTGTCTTATCTCAACAACCTTAGGAAATATTTTATGCAATCTAGAAGGTTATGAAGTTGCAATTTTGCTTGCTTCCTCGCCCAGTTTTTCTGTTGTTGTTCTTGATTTCCAACAAGTGGCTCTTTGGTTTCCATAACCCTAGATTACATTAGAAAGATGATTGTAACTTTTTGATATGGGGTTGGCCGTACCCTTATGCGATAGTTTAACAAACTGTTGTATTCGGATGTAAGAGGAAGGTTATCTGGTTACCATGAAGGTGTTTATCTGTTTTTCAACTTTTGAATTTATTATTGGATCATTCTTGTTGAGTGAAGGGAGGGTTATCAGATCTTTCGTCACAAATAATGAACCAACTTAGATAGATCGTGTCTTCTGGAGTTCATCTTTGATTTGAAACCTGATTTTCCATTTTCATATTCTTTTATCAACCAAATTTGACCATTTTTCCTGTCCATTACTGGCTACAAATTGTCTGTATGGTGAGCCTGTGTTAGTGATTTTGTAATTTCCTTCTGATTTTGTTTAGCCATTTAGATATATTTTGTTTTCTGAGGATTGTGATTTAATATACAGCTGCTTGTGAGTTTCTATTATGTGATTCAACACGACCTGGTGTTAAGCTGCAATCTACAACTTAAGAGAAGTATAACCAGCTGCAAAAAGTAGGTAGTCTTTCTTTTTTCTTATGTTAAGACAAACAAAACGTAAACATGTGGGGAATCTACCTGAGGGCTTGCCAGAATATAAGCCCGGTTCAGGGACTACATAATGACATATTCACATATATAGTGTAAATTTTTGCTGTCTTTTGTTCTACCCAGCAGCCAATGCCAATATATTTGGTTCTATTGCTGCCGCTGACTTTACCATTGAAGTTGCTACCCGCATCTTAACTTTAAATAGAGTTTTGATCAATTGCTAACTCTAGTGAAAGTATGCTCTCCATTTCCCATACCATGTACAACAAAACCTTTGGCAAGTGCTTTATAATCGAGAATCTCTTAATTCTTTTTAGTTTATAGTCATTGGACAAATCCTCACGGACTTTGAGACACTAGATACTTCTATTTTGAAGTAAGAGAATCCATGAAAAGCATGCTTGAGTGGGCAGCACCTATGAATTGTGAAATTTCAATCTTAATTTCTTCTTGAAACAGCACCATCCTCTATTTATGTGCATAAACTGATATCAATCTTGAACTGAAAGCATTTTCAAAGTATCTCAGATGAAATTTATATTAATCACCAGCTAATGGAGCTACTAAAGAAATGATTCTCGATGAAAATTATTCAAGCTTCTATGATATTGTTTAGCAGTATCAAGATTCTAATTTGCTTGGGAAGTATAAGGAAATATGGTTACTTAAAAAGCAATGGATCGGACGACCACAAGCAAGTATAGATTCCCATCACTTAAACAGTCTTTTCCCAGAATTCTATCAAATTTTAATGTCAAGTCTTATGACCTTAAGCATAAAGTATTTCACTAGAAAGGGATGTCTGCTACTATCATAGTGATTCCCTTGAATCTCTAGTGAACAAGGGTTTGGAGCTTGAAAATAAATCACTGAGCCAAAATACTTTCTTCTCAGAAAAGAGTTTGGCTGCTTGAATTATTATTCAAATCTTACTACTTTGGCGAAAAAATAGCCCCGTGACAAGCCGCTGGAACCGGCCCTATTCTCTTGCGAGTTTACACTGGTATAGTGAAAATAATACCCCGAAATTGTTATTTGACCTGAAGGTTTTCTCATTAGAGATTCCAGCTTCGAATTGCTTCTGTTCTGTTATCTCATCTACTGCAGGACATGAGAAATACTGTCCTCAATCACTCTAATGATTATACGTTCTCGTAATCAGTTTTTCTTCATTTCGGATTGAAATATCAACTTCTGTATGGGCTGATGCATTTCTTGCTGAGCTGTCAAGTTGAGGGCGTTAAAAGGAATAACAAGCTGGTTTGGAAGTTGTGGAGGCATGACCATATACTGTAACTTGGACCAAAGTCACCCAGACATTACCTCTCCGCATCTTTAGCCGACCTGAAAAATACAAGTAAATAGATGATACCACCAAAAGTCTTATCTATTAGATATGATCAGCTTTACGGACCGTACAATGTCATTGGGTTCAGTCAACGAATAAACAGGCATTTTTACTTGAAAAATTTCCTCGTAATTTCGGATGCAAAAGCTTCCTATCTCCTAAAGTATTCTATTTATCATAAAATCGTAGGATAATGTAGTACTACAACATGTCACATGAATAAAAAATATAAGCAGTACTGGTTCTGCTCTTGGTCACAGCAGATACATGACTTGCAGTTCCCTCAAAATTACATGAGTACTTTAATTTAAGTTGAATTTTCCCCGAGCAGTGTCCAGAACATCTAGTAAATATCAATTATAGCATGTCAAGAGCATAACCAGATTACAAAATAATTAATTAATTTTGAGTTTAAGGATTTGCCGATATACTTAATCACCAATTCATGAACCACTGGATTAATGAAAATCACATTGCAAATATATATTTGGCCTTATTTGCATTTGTGCATAAATCTTGTAGACCAATTAATATTGTTCCCTCTTGTATAGGGAGGAGAGGTTTGATGCAGTTCTCTAAGACTCCAAGCTTTAAAGTTACAAATTGCCTTTCAGGAAAGTACTATTAACATCTTCTGTAAGTAAATTTGTTTTATTCAACTATTTGGAACTTGCAGTAAAAATTTTTTGAACGTGACTTCATATATAAGTTACTGAATAATTATATATGCTAATTCTGTTAATTGCTTAAAGGAATAGTATTAAAAGCTTTTAAAGTTCTTAATTGAATTTTTAATTTAGTACTTTTTGTTTTAAACACGTAGGAGGATTTATTGAAGAGAACATGGATAATCCATCTATATGTGCCTTTCTCTATTCAGTCATCCATAGGTTTCATGTGTGATTGCCTTCTTGATTTTTCTTTTTCCTTTTTCTTTTTTACCGAAAGATTATTCGGGTCAAAGTCTACACAATCTGTTTCCATGTGGATGGCACATTGGAAAGGAACTTGATTCATGGACCTAGAGAGAGATCGTTCCAAATCTCCAATCAATGGAATGCTTACTGCATACAGGGGATAAATGGCTAGTGGAGAGGACTCGAACATTACTGCCTCAGCCTCTTTGCGAAATGGGGTTGGAGCGTGGCTGAAATAAGCTTCTTCTCTGGACTTTGCTTGATCCAAGACACCCAAAACATCTTATCTCCGTACTTGAATGAGTGACCGTCTTCGTATTAGTATTAGTATTAGTATTAGTAGTAGTATAGTGTGCCTCCCTATACGCCACGAATTAATTGAGCATCCGCATGTATGCCACTCCAAAAATCTCAAGATAAAAACTCAGATTAAAATATTTTAATAATTTTATTAAGTGAGTATAACTCAGAAATTCAAGTCCAAATATTTTGAAAACCATATTACATAAGGTAGTAGGTAGTGTGATAAATTAAAAATTGTAATTTTAAATAGTGCGGGGGTTCGGAATATATTTTTTTTCATCTTTTACACTTGGACTGTGTTATTTTAAAAACATATGCATAAGAACGATAAAAATATAAAGAAAATAAAAAATGATATATAATATTACCTGCAATATTAATTCTGGTTCTCCGTGTGAACGGGGTTACGCAAAATTGAACTAGAACGGAGTTTTGTTATTATGAAAAACGTAAAACCTCCATTGCTCTTCGTAACCAAACATTCTATAAGAAGTAATAATTGTTGTGTTCAATTTAAAGAACGAAATAAAGGTAAAGATACATGTTTGTCTATTTCAAACTCTATGGGTTCTCATAAACAGGAAGCATGTGCTATCATATTCGGTCCCCAACCCTGTCATCACCCTCCTCGCCCACACTGCGCTACATAAATTATTTTCAAAACGCTTTTGATTTCCACACTGCATGTACTTCCACTTGCTCATGCACTTAGACCCGTGTCCCAAATGGTCCATAGTCCACGTTAAACACCCTGGACCACCATTTATACTTCATTAACTCCCTTCATGTTTAAGTAACACTAATTAATTTTACTATTTTGTTAATATTATTTATTATTATTATTATTTTTTATACTAATAAAAACACTTATTTTATTTTTTTATCCTTTTTATGAGGCACTTTTTAAAAAGTTTTTAATACTCTTTATTATACTTATGAATAATTTTTTAATTTTTTTCTTATTTGTCCTAAACAATGAAGTTGATGAAAACATGAATTAAAGGTTAATAAGAGTATATATTGATAGTGAAGTTAGATGAGTGGAGATAGGTTTAATGATAATAAAAGATAATAACATTGTTATAGTATTTTTTAAGAAATCAAGAAAATAAACTTTATCAACAAGTTCATTTTTTTATGCAGAGCAAATGAATAATAAAAAGCTTCTATCATTTTTGTATAGTTCCCTTGTTTAAATGATCAGCAAGTTACAACGCTGCCAAATGGTTTTCATTTTCAAACTCGGAAGAATCTAACTGAGCCTTTTTGGGCTTCTAAAATGATAACGGGTTTGTGGACCATCACGTAGACGGCGTAAGTAGTTTATTGAATCATGCCGTCATGCGAATACATCTTGCCGTGACCAATATTTCCCGCTGCAACCCTTTTAATTAATGCATCCAAATCCATTGATATCTCTGTTTCTGTCTCCCAATTATTGGCCTTTAAAGAAAAACCAGAGTAATAAAACACTTCAATTAGTGTCTGTAAAGTGGAAACCAACGGAATCTGCCCAAAACGTTACTCATGATAGATAAATAACTCTTCATTATTCTAAGATCGCTAGAAAGTATTGATATTTGAGTGTTCTTAGTTTAAAGTATAACTTGTCTCTCTCAATCTCACTCCAGTGCTCTTAATCTATGGGCACCCACATTTTTAACTGGCTAAGTTGCAAGTATATTACTAACCAAGGGTTTTAGTTAAAAACATATTATGCGTAATTTTATGTTTTTCAACAAAATATTTCTATTTTTATTTCTCAATTAACGTATTAACATTTTTCAGATTATAAATATGACAATTATATTAGTCGCAAATTTTGTTCTTTTAGCAACTTCGTCATTGATTTTCCACTTTAATGTGTGAGTTTAATTTTTTTACATCGTCATGTAATTATAGTATACACTTTAAATGTTAATATAAAAGATATTTACACTCTCTCAATATATTTGAATAAAATTCTTAATATACTGTAAAATGTAACTTTATATGAGGTTGGATGCAATATTTTAAATGATCTAGCAGCAGTGGCACTTTTTGATGCCTTTCAGTGACACATGGACGCGGCTCCAAAGAGGACTTCTCTAATTAAAGTGACATCATGCCCATAGAAAGCAACGCTGTACTTTTGGGGTACCTAACAAACAAATAACAAAGTGCTTTAATCTTTTATCCATTTTGAGTGTGACGAGACTCATAATTAAGCAAGTTGGATAAAGTCTGATCAAGTTACCAAAAAACAAAACTAAAACAATTCGCTTCTGTGAATAAGGGCATTAATTGAACAAAGCGTGCAAATTATTAGTTGCATAATCAAGTTAAAGACAAGCATGGAATTGAAGAGTTCTGTGCTCAATTTACCTTTAAAAGCGATACTCAGTGATTTTGTACGACAGTATATTTTAAATTTACAAGCTTTTAAGGGGAATCTAATTTAGACATGCAGTAATTAGCACTTGGACAATGACAACTTATCTTATAGTTCATTAAGCTCTATAAAGGAATTTTTGGGCATGGATTAGATTTTGTACGTGCCTCTTAACTTGGTTTGCTTAAGATTTGAGGTATAGACGGTAACAATGTCAAAAGAAATTTATTGATATTTCATGTAGCAATGCGCACATCAAGGTTCCTTTTTAATAGCAACCTCACAGACCCTCATATATTCTATTATAAAACTTTCAATCATTGTTTTATAGTTATACTTTGAGTTAATAAAACACTTTGGACACTTTTTTCTTCCCGCACGCTATTTCAGTACTATTTCTATGTGAGTATCTGTGTTTCACATTGAAAATGACACAGAAAGTTAGTGCCTAATATTGTCATTGAGCTGGTGCAGAAAATGTTACATGATGTGAACAATCGTTGAAATTTTTTATTGGAGTCATCTACTGTGTGTTGACGAGCTGGTGTTAAAACATAAAATATATTTTATTAAATTATTTTAAAAATAAGTCTTAAATAAATTTTATATTTGAATTTTTTATGTCTTATTGCATATCCATAGGTACATAATAAAATAAAATTATATTTTCTTTTTTATTTATTTGGATCAGGTACAAAAATATCATTGTTCAAACATCGTATAAATAAGATAAGTTGCTAAGCTTATTCCTTATCACTTAAGGATATAGACTTTGTTTGGATAAACTTATGAATAAGTTTTTATGAGAGAAAAAAAATAATATAACAATATATAATTTTTTATAAATTAAAAATATTTCATTTCTTTACTTTTTTTAAAGGTTAAATGAGATTAATTTGTAAAAAAAAATTATAAATAAATTTTAATTTATAAAAAAATTATTAATTTTTTATACTATTTTTGTTCTCTTTACTCAAACAGCACCATAACCAAAGTAATTTATATAAGATTTAAGCAAACTTTAGTTGATTTTTATAGTTGAATTAAACATTTCATTTCTAATATAACTCCAGAAAAATATAAAATTACAAGAGTGAAGAAAATAAAGAAAACGAAATTGACGTAAAAATATGTAACTTTGTATTTTTTGTAAAAAAAATATTAAACATTTTCAATATATAGTACTTATTGGTAGTAAAATTTAAATACTATCATTATTAATAAAGAGTGAATCAAAATTATTTAATTAAATTAACGTAAAATTTTAAGTAATGAAAATAAAGTATAAAAGAATTTATAGTTTTTAAATCCGACCATTTAAAAATGATTTTGAAATTTCATTGGAAAAGATTTGTATCGATATACACAAACAGAAATTACAGAGGCCTTGTAAGGTTAAAAAAAAATCATTTTTCAATCATAAAATTAAAAGAAAAGAATGGTTTTACAGGCAGAAAAAAAAAAGGAAATAATATTTAAATTGAATGATTTTGTATTATTGGTTTATGTAATGTGTGAACGTGGACCTTTGAAATTTGACTATTGCGTGGTTTTAGAAGTGTGTTGATTAGAGGATGGAGAGCTGTCCTTGAAAATTACCGTATCAAATGAAAAGGTGAAAGGGGTAACAGAAGCAGTCGCCACTTGTTTGCGTCAGTGTCCTCCCAAATCCCAAAACGGGAATCGCAGCATCCACGTACGTACCCTACCTGTCACCTTTTTATAGACATTTTATCTGTTTTTTCAAGTTTGTTTAAATCATTATTTGTTAATTTTCTCTCATACATTGGAGTGGAAGTGAAGGTGATACCCACTTTTCCTTTTCCCTCTCAACACAAATCCTCTGTTCACTCCCACTGTCTGACTACTACACAGACAACAACACATCTCTCTCTATTTTAAAGATATAATAAATGACTTCAATTTCGTGCAATTAACACACAGCAATAGCAATACCACTCCCTAGATGGAGATGGATTCTCATGAATATTGGGTAACCAAGGTCCATCAAGTTCACAACGATAACATCATCTTCAACTTTTCCACCTTCAACGACACCGTTTCTTCTTCTTCTTCTTCTTCTTCTTCTTCTTCTTCTTCTTCTTCTTCTTCTTCTTCTTCTTCTTCTTCTTCTTCTTCTTCTTCAGCCTCAGAATTGAATTTGACGGAAGAAGAAGAATCAGGAATAAGACTGGTCCACATGCTAATCTCATGCGCCCATTCTCTCCAACGTGGCAACCTCTCCCTCGCAGCTTCACTCCTTCATACCATGCAATCCATCTTCCAACACCTCACCACCGCCTCCGGCATCGGAAAAGTCGCTTCTCACTTCATCCACTCTCTAACCCTCCGAATCTACGCGCCGCCGCACAGCCAAATCCACTACCACCAAAACGACGCCGTTCTCTACCATCACTTCTACGAGGCTTCCCCTTACCTCAAGTTCGCTCACTTCACCGCCAACCAGGCAATCCTCCAAGCCTTCACCGACCACAACTGCCTCCACGTCATCGACTTCCACCTCATGCACGGCCTCCAATGGCCGCCGTTAATCCACGCTCTCGCCATCCGGCCCGGCGCTCCTCCTTCACTCCGCCTCACCGCCGTCGCTCCTCCCTCTTCGGATCACCGCGAAATCGGCTTCCGACTGGCCGACGTCGCTCGTTCCGTCAACCTCCGCTTCTCCTTCCGTGTCGTGGCGGCGTCGCGCCTCGAGGACGTGAACACGTCGATGCTGCAGGTGAACCCGAAGGAAGCGGTGGCTGTGAACTCCGTGATGCAGCTCCACCGTGTTCTCGGGTCGGAGCATAGCATCGATGCGGTGTTGGATTGGATCCGGAAAATGAACCCGAGAGTTATGACGGTAGTGGAGCAAGAAGCCAATCACAACCAGAACGGGTTTTTAGAGCGGTTCACGGAAGCGTTGTGTTATTACTCGGCTGTGTTCGACTCGCTCCAGGCTTGTCCCGTGGAGCCGGATAAGAGTCTGGGTGAGATGTACGTGCAGAGGGAGATTTGCAACGTGCTGTGCTGTGAGGGACCGGCTCGGCTTGAGAGGCACGAGCCGCTAGCTAAGTGGAAGGCTCGCCTTGGGAAAGCCGGCTTCGAGGGCGTGCATTTGGCTTCCAATGCGCTTAAGCAAGCGAGCATGCTGTTGAGCCTGTTCTCCGCAGAGGGTTACAGCGTGGAGGAGAATGAAGGTTGTTTAACGTTATGTTGGCATAACCGACCTCTGATTGCGGCTTCGGCTTGGCGAGCCGTGCAACTTGCTCACAGTGATTGTGACTAAAATTTACCCCTTCTACATTCTTGTATTTTTGGGTTTTTACCTGATAATAAGTTTCTTCATTTTGCATATATTATGTGAAATGACTTTTCATGCATTGGGGGAAGTCGTGGAGTTCCTGTTTTAACAAACTTGATTGATTGATTGATTAATATTGCTTCGGTAGAAATATGCCATCAATGTTGATAGGTTGTTAAGGGAGCTTGTCAACACATAATTGACTACTTAACACCCCCCCCCCCCTAATTACCATCTCACTCTTTATCTTATTTCTGCCATTAGATTAGACGTCGCATTATCACTCTCTGGACCATTAACCCTTAATTTACCCAATTTCTTCTAGAAAGAGACTCTTAATTTGTTATTCTATGCGCTGCAATTATCTCTTTTTTTTAATTATATTATTCTTACACCGTTTTATTTATTTATTTTCAATATAATATTGAATCAAATTGTTATCATTACATCTGACTTCTCATAAACCAATAATCTTTCCCTGGCGACATTCGTGACTCACGTAACTTTACGTAGATCAATTGCTTACTTCTTAGTCAAAATCTATACTTATTTATTTTGGAGTTAATCAACAATTTGGCCATTAAAATTGACAAATAGTGCTATTATAATTTTTAAAAGTTTCCATCAATAAAAATTAGCTTTTTGAGAGACAAACTACTTACAAATTAATATCTTAATAAAATAAGCGTGTTAATGAGTTTAGGCTGCTAAAGTTGTCATGCACTTTCAGTGATATTAACTATTTCCTTACTGTGACAACACATATAGCCTTGCGTTTATGATGCATTCTCGTTGAGCTTCACAGTGAACATGTGACTCATCAGCGAGGCATTGAGTTCAATTATAAAATCAGTAATAACATATAATAATGTAAATCGAGAAAAAGTATTCGCATGGGGTGAAAAAGCATATTTGATTCTTTGTAAATCTTGTGAGTGGTAACAAAACTGTTTTGCTCTTAACCAGAAGAGAGTTGGGATTTTAACGCTGAAAAAAATAAACATTCTTTTATAAAACAGTACGGTAAATTTAGTAAAAAAAATGAAGAGAATATAACGTGTTAAAAGTTAAAATTAAAAATAATATTATATTATAAATTTATAAGTTTTGGTGCAGAGAATTGATTATACTGAATATTAAATAAATTAATGAAAACGCTACTCGCATAATATAAGCTGTGTAGTTAAAATAAAATAAAATAAAAACATTATTTGTAACATGTCAAGTTGGAAAGAAAAGTTTTAACATGCAATATAATCAATTATCTCATATAGTATTAAGTATTAAATCTTAAAGGAACAATACTAAAAAAAAAGTGAAAGCAGTAGAAATGAGAATACATCCTACGGGTGGACACATAAAAAAAATATGATATAAAATGATAATATACAAAAACATATTAAAATAATTAAAAATCATTTCATATGATTTAGTTATATGCAAAGAAAATCTTTAAAAGTACTAGTAAGAAGAGTGCATATAAAAAAAATTGAGAAAAACAAAAAAAATCTTCAACCAAATTATTAAAAAGTACTTTTTAATTAACTACATTTTTTAAAATTTATTTTTTGACCAAATTAAGTTGCGTTGTGTTGTAACTGATTTCACCTAGCATGATATACACACATCTAACACATTTTTTATAATATTTTCATATAACTTATGAGTAATCCTGTCAATTATTGGACGTGCCTAGCGCAAACAAATGATAAAAATCAGCATGCATCCTACTAATTCTTCAATTAGGAAGGATTAAGGAATCTGGGTTGTGTGTAAGACAGTAAGAGAATTGATGTTACATTGGTAAAGATGGTGCATGTGAGTTTGCCCAACAAAGAGTGAAAAGGTGGTATGGGAAGGGACCCTCCAAGGAAGCCTCATGCATTCATGCAAGGCAAAGATTGGGACTGGAGTTCGTGTTATGCCTTTCAGACCGTCAAGTGGTCAACCTTGCCTCGTGGAACATAATAATATAGCTGTTCACTTATTCACCTTTCGGGAATGCCCTTCTTACTTTGTGAAAAATGAGTAGTATTTGTTAGAGAATGTGAAGCAACTATGCAATTCTGTGTTAATTAAAGATATCCTACATTTGTTAAAAATATGCTGCTATCACTGTAAGCACTTGAGAATACTATTTATAATACTTGGACAATCCTCCTCCTGTATATAAACTAGTTTCTACAAGTGGATTAGTCTCAGTTTTCTAATACCTTGATTTAAATGAATTTAAAAATTTTGTTTAGTATCAGTTAAATGAACCTTCACTGTTGCACTTGAGCAACGAACATCTGAATGGTTGGACTATAATGAGCTAAGAAGGGTTGCAATCCGATCGAGAGTGCTCAACAAACCTTTGACTTTATGTTAAATAAAGAGATGGGGCCAGCACGTGTTTTCAGGTTTGAAGGCTAACACAAAGTTGAAAGAATTATCATTAAAAGCAACCGATAATTTCTATAACTTTCGCTAGACACTTAGGTTTTCTTGGAATAAAATAATTCTAATTTACTTGATTTTATAAATTTGTACAGTAAAATTTTCAGAGAAAATTTAAAAAACTATGCTTATGCTTAACTTCTTGTGATTATGTTAATAACCCCCCATATGTTACAGTCTCACTTAAATAATTTTCATTATTGATTTCATATATATTCTCCAAAAAAATCTAAAATTCTTTATCCAAAGATACTGATAAACAACCTAGACTTTGTCAAAAATTTCAATGCAGAGAAAATTATGAACAGTTTAGGTTTTACATATTGAACTTCATCACATCTGTTTCTCTTCTTGGAAATCTCCCTGATGCGCCTCATTCTTAGCAGTAAAACATTACATTCTTCACCTTCTCTTTCAATGCTGGTAGTGGTCGAACTGACTCATCTTTTGATCTTGCACCTCGAGATTTAGCAACCTCAGGAACATCAGGTTCCATGTAGAATCGAGCTCTGTAAGCTGCCAGATGAGCATAGTACGCAGGAGGCACTGTACACAGCACACATTTAATTCGATAGGGGTAACCAATTTGCATTATATAAAACTGGCAAACAGAAAATCCATTAAATGCTCATTATATATTGATCAGTAAAGTTAGTTGCAGGCACTAGCATTCCTCAGTAAATATTTTCTGTTGATGTATTAACTCATTTTTAATTAATACCCGATACAAATATTTTCTTTTTATTAAAATATAAGTGTGTATTATATAAGGAGCGTTTAGTGGCCCTATGTCCTATTAACTTTTTGGTAGATTATACTCGTACTTGTGTCAAGCAAGAGCCAAAGACTTACCTACTGAAACAGATCGTGTACATCTTGCATAGCTACAATCAAAGTAATGAGGAGATTATTTCATCATAAGAATAGATCAAACAACTTCGAGAGGATGAGAGAAGTTATTTACGTGTAGCATAAGTTGTTGGTCAGAGATTGAATCTCATCAGCAGTGAAATTGTTTTCGTCCCACAGAACATGATAATGAGCCGGTCTACTTGTACCCTGTAAATTGAATTAATTTAAGTCTGATACAAAAATAATTCTTCCACATCTGGTCTAACCCCTATACCTATTTGTATGGTTACAATAGGAGAGAAAGAAAAAATTTCCATTTCCCCTTTCTAACTTACTAATGGGGTGTAGGAGTAAGGGTGTAAGGAAAATTCAGGTTTGGAAAAACCAAAGTCAATCCGATACCAACATATCCTTTCTAAATTCTAATGTAGCAACATAGATATCATTATTATACCTGAATTCCTGCATGACTGCATAAATAGAAGTCAAATTCAGTAGGATGACAGATCTTAGAATCCACCACAGTACCTACATTTACCAATCGGATAAGTTTCAACTCAGAGACTAATAAATTAATAATAATTACATAGCGAGCAGAAGGAATTGGAGGGTATTCCAAATATTCTACAATTTTCAGCCTATCTAAGCATATATCCTCTTGGATTTTCATGGATAACCTTAGGTTGATGACATGTGCTAATGATAGAAATTGGATGAATTTTAAAAACTTTTACCAGGTAAAATATTCCCACTCTTATCAGTGCTATTTCTGTCATCATGATTGCTTGAGAAGAGTCTAGTGTGATGCCGCTTTTGAACCACAACAAAAGTTACCGGAGGTTGGTAACTAGGTTCCAAAGATGCACAAGCCTACCCAAATTAAGAATTTAATTACCTAAAAATGTCATAGTGCATATATAATTATATAAACAAAGATAACAGTAATATGTCCAAGTACCTTACGGATGGCATCAAGCTCATACAACAAAACCTGGTAGAATTGTCCTTCACTTACTCCATCCCTGTAAATATATTGGATTGAATTATAAATAATTCAGTTCCCCATTATAATGATATTCAATGCCTTTCATCCCTAACTTGCATTGCAATAAAAAATATATATTTAATTACCAGAACAGAACACTCCTACCTGTAAAATATTATCCTCCAAGGTTTTTGTCCAGTTGCCTTCTTAAAAGAGAGTAACAGCTCTCTGCAGTAGCACATTATAGTATGATCCAAATAGGCAACTATGATGTTTAATAATTGCAGGTAACAAATGCAAAACCATAATTGTTTCCCTAGTAGTCAATGATTGAACACAAACAATCTATACTCGAGTGAAGAGGAAAAAATTAAAGCAAGCAAGAATGAAAACCTTTCTCATTAGGCAATTTCAAAAATGCCAACAGATGAGATTTTCAGGCTTAAAATAAATCAAGGAAATACCTAAAGGGAGTCTATATGATTCTAAAATAAAATAAACAAGATATAAAGTTTAGAGGCAAACACAACCTTCCACTTAATCCAACAATGAAAATGATTAGGTTGCTACTAAATACCTGATCATGCCACCATAAACTATACCATGGTGTGGATCCTTCCAACATTTAAAAAGATCTTGAATGAGTTCCTCACGATGAGGCTGAGCACATACCAATCCAGCATACTTTGTAACTTCCGGCCAGTCCTGGGAGGCTACAACCTGAATAATGGTAATCAGAAGACCAAATATAAGGAAAGGTATAAATCATAGGAGTTTGGAAATGCTTACAGCAG